GCAGCACCACCACCAGAACCACCAACAGCCGCCCCACAGTCATAACGGCCACAACAATAATAACAACCACGTCCAGGTGGTGCACCAGCCCATTACGTCGCAATCGCAACAGCAGAGCCTCTGCGGTGGTGCGAGAACCAACAGCAACAACATGATCCACGACGGCGGAGGAGGTGGTGCAGCCGGCGGCGGTGGCGGTGGTGGTGGCGTTGGAGTCGTGGTTCCCGTGGGCAACCGCAACGGCAACAGCAACGGTGGCGATCCCACGTTACAGGGCTATGAGGTAGGCTATTAACTTGGGGCATTAGCTATAACTATACAATTTGCAGGGACAAAATGTTAAAAAAGATACTTCTGGATAATTAGAAAGTAGTAAATTTGTTCCAGTCACAACCAAATCATCCTCTATAAATCATTCTTAATTGTTCTTCTCCCCTTCCAGTTTTGGCATCAGGACAAGGACAGCAGCCGCCTTGACTCCAACTCGATATTCGAGGACCTCGATCGCTACTGCTGGCAACAGCAGTCGGTCACAAGCAGCGCCAGTAATGGCGCATCCGCCAGCACCAATCAGCCCAGTCCCACCTCGCCGCAGGGTCACCTCCAGCAGCAGCAGCAGCAGCAGCAGCAACATCAGCAGCACCAGCAGTTGCAGCAGCAACAGCAGCAGCATCAGCAACAGCAGCAGCCGAATGCGAACAGCTCCTCGGCAGCTTCCAGCGGAGCGGGAAGCAGCAGCGACACCATCAGCAGCCTGGACACCACCGATGGCCAGATCTACACCCTGACAGTATTAAATGGAGGAGAGCCCTGGCTGAAGCGCTCGGAGGCGGAACAGCTGCCCACTTCGCTGGATCTGGACAGTCTGCTGGGCAGTTTTCCGGGCTACATTAAATCAGAGTATCCCTACGATGACAGTGGCTTTAGTACGGATGGCAAGGATGTGATTGGCAATGGAACGGATGGTCTCAGCAGTATTTCCCAGGCACAAAACCAGGGTCAGCAAGCGCAACAAACGCTGCCCTCGCTGGTCACGGCCATCTCGTTGGCGGGCGGCAATGATTTGGGCCAACAGTTGGCTCAATTCCAGAACAACAACAACGACTGGCACATGGCCGATCACAATACGGAAACGGAACAGAGTACGGCGGAATCGCTGCTGCGGAGTGCCCTGCAGGGTAAGGGTTACGCAAAGGGTTTGCACATGCAAAATGGCCTGACCATGCCGGTGGTCAAGGAGGAGGATATGCGGCGTTTGCTATTTGCCGATGAGGCAGCAGCTTTGGGCTTTGCGGACTCCACTTTAAGTGCCGCCCAGATGTTCGACGAGGCCCAGGGCATCCATCTAAGTTCGCAACAGCAGCAGCAACAGCAGCAGCAGCAGCCACATAATGGGAATGCTAACAATATCCTGGTGGACGATATGTTCCTATCGCTGGAGAATGCCTTCAGCGATGATTTCGAGAAGATCAAGCGCATCGCCAACGAAGTGCAGCAGTTTTGTAGTGCCGGCTCGGCAGGAACACCAACTCCCGGAGATTACGTGCCCACCAGTGACGTGCTGATGCAAATCTCACCCAGTGCGGCGGTAACATCGGCCGGTCAGTTGCAACCACCGCAACCCTTGAAACCGGAGGTCAGTACCTCCACATCGCCCACATCGGCGGTGGTGACTTCCGCCGCCAGCAGCGGTCATGTCCGCTCCGGCGGTGGCGTTGTCAAGCCCAAGAAGGCGTACAAACGGAGCAGCAGTAATAACAATAATCCCAATGTGGCTAATAACAACCAGAGTAGCGGTGGCAATCCGCTGATAGCAGGCAGTGGCAGTGGCAGCTCCTCGTCGAGCGGAAGTGCCAGCAGCAGCAGCAATAGCCCGCCAGCCAATTCCGGCGGCAGTTCATCCTCCTCCTCGGGCAGTACGCAGCGAAAGGAGCGCTCCCTGCACTACTGCTCCATTTGCGCGAAGGGATTCAAGGATAAGTACTCCGTAAATGTGCACATACGCACGCATACGGGTGAGAAGCCCTTCGCCTGTTCGCTCTGCGGCAAGAGTTTTCGGCAGAAGGCCCATCTGGCCAAGCACTACCAGACGCACATGACCCAGAAGAACAACGGAAACATAATCAAGGGCGGATCCGGCAAACACCAGCGAGCGAGCGGATCCTCGACGGGATCGGCCAGTGCCGCGCTCAACCAGCGGCAGCAACAACTCGGTGGCGGTGTGGTGCCTCCCTCGCTGCCCGTGATGATCAGCAATCCCAATACGCCACCTGGCGGAGTACTACCACCTGCCAATGGACTCCTTGCCAATCGGTAGTGAGCACCGGCAGTGGGGTGGATTACCCCGGCCTAACTATTTCTTGTTCCTTACTCACAAAAAGCAAACACAGACACACACACACAAACAAAATGAAAAAGAAAATGTAGAGAAACTATTACTACTGTTAAATACCTAAATACTTAAATACTCGTACTCCCAACTCGAATTTACGTCATTGATGCATTCCTATTTCAGCTTTCTGTGCAATTCCTATATGCCCACACACACAGACAAACAGACAGACAGACAAACACACTCGAAGCACTTCCAAATACAATACTCAACTTAATGTACATTTACTCAACAAATTAAATTAAATGTGCCAAATTTTGAAGATTTAAATAACTAAACTTAAACTAAAGTATAAATAGTAGAAATAACCATAGGCGTGTAGAAATAGAAGTGTAACGAAGCTAATGAAGCAATTCCACGAGTGGTGATATCAAAAAGAGGCCAAACGCTTCCTTGCAAAACGATAATGAGAGTTCTTAAAAGAAATTCCCCTAACTAGAATAATTACCGCCTTCAAATATTCGATTTATTTACCAAGTTTCCTGATCACCCGCAGTTCTATAGAGTCTTCAAGTTGCTCAGCCCGATGCGTGTTTCCTGTAAATTAAAAGTATTTGTTTTCTTAGTTGCTCTGCCCAAATTAGCATAAATTTGTTTGCTAGTGTTAATGTATATATTATATATGCGCGTATATAATGTTAGTAGTAGTATTTTATTAGTTGTAAACAGAGGGAATGCCAAATATTTGAGGGAGGAACACTGACCTAAGGCACTAAATTCGAAACGCATCCTCCGGAGCTCATCCTACAGCAATTTCCCGCTCCTTTCTCCTTCAAGGATCTCTTTGATCTCTTGGGCCGAGTGTTAGCCAACTTCGAAGGCATTCAGCGAACATTAAGAAAATAAGGGGGGCACAAGCATTACCTTACCAACTACAAACTATTACACACCATATGTTCAGCAAACTCAACTTGCACTTGCCATTATTTTTGTATTTGATAAATAAAGCAAACAACAAGGCGCATTACTAAGGCGAAATTCCCTATAATTAAAGATAACTCCACATTCACCCAACTAGTGTATTGTTTAGGCTAAGCTAACTGATAAATCAGCCGTAGTTAGTGGTTAATTAAACTGCCAATTATTTTGTGATAGTTTTTAATGGACAATAGTTTAGATTACGCAAGAAATATCTTCAATGGTGTTTGGGTTATGTAACGTTTTAACGATTTGTTATAAACTGTGTACACTTTGCAATACGAGTATTTTCTGCTAATTTATTGAACTTCATAGTTTATGTACATAGAGAACGATCCTTGTTTATATCCAAGCCTAGGCTAAGCCACACATTGAAATCTTAGTTAAATCTTTGTTAGTTATTATTTATGCACACACACACACACAAACACTCACTCAAACATAAAACACACACACACACACACATCCATCTGCAGTTAAGTTTTGCATTAATTTTTTTAGTATTGCAAGCATTAAAAATAAAGAAATCTAAAACGTTTTATTGACAATTAAGATGCGCCCCGTGTCCGCTGTTTGGGTCCGACGTGGGTTAATTAGTTTCAGCTCGTTACGCCGATGGAGGATGAAGATGGCAGATGGGTCTGGCCGAGGTCTGAAATAATTTTCTCCAATAAAGGAGCTGAGTGCACACGAAAGCGCATGCAGCTGCGCATGTCAACAACGGATCGCAACTGCAGCAACATTACTGCAGCATCAGTGCAGCAGCAGCACGCTGATGCAGCAGGCAGGCGGCACTTGTCAGTCAAAATCAAAGTACCCGGCCCCAGACTGCCGGCATCGTTTGGCGGGGGGCTACAAATGCGTGCCATCAGCGTAGATTAGAGAAAATTTTTCACTTCACGATCGGTGAAACACGACTCGTGCACTGCAAAAAAAGGGGTACTGGCACTGTTCGAATTTCGATAAGTATTAAATTCGCCAAGTACATAAAACAAAACGCGAATTCTTCAGTCTATTCATCAGAATTTTGATTATTTTCTCACTCTTTTAATCTTTTATAAAAAATTAATACTTGTTTTGTGGATTCACCCAAAATTTGTATATCCCTTAAAAACCGTAAGAAGTTCTTATAGGATATTGCCCCAGATCTTGATCACATTAAGCCCAAATGACAGCTAACCACTATTTCTCCCAGTGCACCGCTGATGGTGATGCCTCCACTGCCGACCACGTCGTTTGAGATCGAAACATGTCGATTAGGGAATTTCAAGAGGCGCCAGTGGCCGTCGCACAGGTGGCTAACATCAGCGCACCTTTGGGGGAACTCAAACACTGGGTATTCGGTGTTCCATGTTCCGTGTTCAGTGTTCAGTGTTCAGCTGCCACTGCGGCAAGCACGCGTCTTAATTGCTTTTGATGTTGAACTTTGGGCCAGCAAGCTGCTGTGCAAATATTTGCACAATGGAAATGGGGAACATTCGATCCTCGTGTGGGGTATGCGAAACGAAAGGAAAGTCATATTTGATGGCTAGACAAATAACCATAAAGCAGCTGGAGCTGTGAAACTACACTGGCTGTAGTCATTACAACTGCAAAGATCCCTTTGTTTAGGTAGCAGGACGATTTATGTTTAGTGTATTTAACGATAATTTTCGGATATTATGGTTTTTAAACAAGCCACAAAACTCTTTTATATTTTGTTCCGCTTCATAATGATTTTCCATTTTACCTTGTGCACCAAGATTTCCAGCAGCCAAACTAGTGAGGAAAATACTACCATAAAAGCATATCCATACCACACATACTGTAGATCCTGAATCTGCATGGCCCTGAATTCGCGATGAGGACTCAAGTCCACAAAGTGCATCTCACCCGCCTCAATGAGTTCCGAGAAACCGGTGGCCATCCAGTGAAAGTAGAGTCCTCTTTCGGCCAATTCCATAATCAACATTTGCACTGGTTCCATAAACACCGAGTTCTCATGCAAGGGGAAGCCGAAGGGTATATTGTTGAAAAAGCAAAAGTCGTCGCGTTTTTGGAAAAGTGGTCGCGAGAAGACCTTTTGCTGTTCGTTGATCAAAACCCACCTATTAGTGGTTATCATGTAACCATATCTCGTGTCCAACGTGTCACGAAGTGCCAAGTACCGATTAAAATCGGGCTCCACCAGGAACATGGATTCGTACTTCCGAAACTCCAGGAGACGGCCAACCAGCTCTGCATATTCCGGCTTCCATGCCACCACTTTCAGATTGGAGGCAAAAATATCATCGTAAGTTCGTAGAGCCGACTGCTTTGGTGCACTGGTCACATAGCTGGAGAAATAGGAGTTGTACCAGGCGGTGATCAGGATGCCCAGCACGCAAATCTCCAGATAAATACCCCGCACAAGAGCGGGTGCTCGGAAGACTTCCACAAAGGATTGCCCCAGTACTCCTCTCAAGCAGCTGTCGTGGAGCAGGAACTCACTGATGTTGGTTGGATAGCCATGGAGCCGCAAGGCGCTGGCCAGGAGACAGGATATTATCACTAGGGTTCCCAGAGTTAGCAGAAAAGCAGCCAGCTCAAAGACCCTGGTGTAATACTCAAATGGTGGCACATCGGCCTCCACCGGCAGCATGAGGCACCAATTCATCTGCTCGTACGGATAGCTGAATCCAAATGGGGGAATCGTGGGAAAAGTCAGGGATATGGATAACTCTACGGATTCATTGCGCACTGCACTAACTGTTTGCATCGATGGTGCAAAGTCCAGGGGATTTTTCGCCAGCAGTGGCTGCACAAATTTCACGTTGTACTTTTGCTGAAAGGCCGTCATAAAGTGACCCACGGTTCCATCATAGACCACATCACCCTTCTTGTTGCGGTAGGCAATCATGCGCGGAGCGGTTCCTCCAAGAATCACGGGCATCTCGTAGCCATGGAAATTCCTGAGTCGATCGGGAAAAATAGGTAAAGGTTGCAAACTGATATCATAGATGCGCTCTTCTATTTGTAGTACAGGAAATTGTGAGTAGCTGTAGAAGGTCGAGGTAGTCTGTGAGCCAAAAATAGAGTATATTGAATTTAATTTTTCTGAGCTTCTCCACACCCACCTCAAAGTCCTGGAAAATCACAATCACATTCAAGAGCTTTTTACGCCAGCAATCTCTAAACAGTTCGTATAGAAAATCGGTTGACACCTCCGCTTGGATCAGAAACATCACTCTAGACGTGGTCATGTGCCTAAGATTCGCGACCAGAGCTGTGAGCAGACCTCTGTGCTCGTCCAGATTTGCATCACTTATAAAGCCTAGGGAAACCAGACGTCTACTGATGCTATTGTGCAAAAAGTAGCTCACATCTTCATTTAATTGAAGGACAGGCACTTGCAGTTCGTCCATAATGTCCCTTGCCAACGAAGTGCCGTTCCAAACTTGATCCGACAGACTAAAGTTCCGATTCTTCATGAGCAGCACGTACTCAAAGTCCGATTCCAGTTTCATCCTGCCCAGTAATTCAATTACCGTTGCGGCACCGACCAGGCTAATCAGGCAAAGGCCGCCCAGGATCCACTTTGGGCAATCCATCACGACGGTCGAGGGACAACTGCATGACACTGATTGATGCCGCTGCACATTTAAAGGGTTGCTAATGAATCCGCCGACGACGTGGCTAATGGTTAATTCCAATTAGCAGCACACGTTAACAAGTCGCGGGCGAAAAAAGAAAACCAGAAAACATTTCCCAGGGGATTCCCATTACACAATGACAGCGAAATCGCCTCAATCAGACATGTTTGGTTGGAAAATTAACACTACACTGAGATTAGGTTAAGTCAATAAAACAATAACTATGGTTGTGAATATGCTAAAGGGAATTCTTTTGAGGTTTTCAAAAGCGTTTTATTCTAATAAACATTTGACAAAGACATTCCTTTCTTTATTTGCCTAACTTAAATTTTTTTTTGGTTTGCCGAAACAAAATATATATTTCATGTTCTGCCACATCCTGTGTCGCCAAAAACAAACCAACTCTAGGATAAACACCATTGTGGCCAACCCAAACATCCAACCCACAAAGCGCCAAATCTGTAGCAAGTCCTCCACCTTCATGGCCCGAAATTCCTTTGGATGACCTCGATCCTCGAGGCTCAATTTTCCTGCCTTGATCATTTCCGTAAAGCTCATGTCTCTCCAGCGACTCAGAAGTCCCGTGGCAGCCACTTCCAAAATGTGGCGATCAAAGGGTTTCCTAAATATCGAATTGCTTACGATGGGAAACACTATGGGAACGGTGTGAAAGACGCAGAGATCATCCTGCAGGCTGAACAATGGCGAACTGAATACCCTCTGTTGCTCCTTCATCAGAGACCACTTCTCCATTGGCATCATGTAGCCGTATCTGCTGTCGAAGGAGTCGCGTAAATGCAAAAACTCCTGGTAGTCCTCGTGCAGTTGAAAGATCGACGAGTATTTCTGCATGTTTTCCGATAAGAGGAGAAGCATTTCGTACTCCGGCTTCCAAATCACTACCTTGAGACTAGACTGCTTAATGCTCTCATAGCTGCTGAGCCGTGGCAGTCTGGGGGCTCTGGTCACAAAAGTGGAGAAGTACGAGTTGTACCAGGAGGTGATCAGCAGACCCAGCAAACAGATCACCAGATACATAGCCCTAATTAAAGCTGGAGGTCGAAGGACCTCATAGAAGGATTGAGACAGGACTCCTCTCAGACAGCTGTCATGCAGAACGTACTCACTAAAGCTGACTCTATATCCGTGAAGACGAAGAGCAATGGATAATATTAATGAAATCAACACCATGGCAACTATAGTGACGCCGAACGCCAGAGGGCTGAATACCATGCTGTAGAGCTGACTGGGAGGAACCTCCTCGGGCACTGGCATCATCAGGCACCAGCTCATCAGCTCGAAGGGATAAGAAAACCCAGTATAAGGAAGTTGGGGATGAATAGCCCCCAAAGCAATTTGCACACTACCATTTCGCACGGCAGCAATTAAATCACGAGCCGGAGGAATGGCAGACTCGTCAAAAGGATATGGTTGAACCAATCTGCAATTATAACGCTGTTCAAAGCTCTTCATGAAATTACCAACAGGTCCTGAGAAAATCAGTTTTCCATCCAAACCACGATATACTATTAGTCGAGGTGAAGATCCACCCAAAGCAATGGGTATCCTATAGCCGTGAAGATTTTCCAAGCGCTGTTCGAATATTACAGAGCTATTGTCCAAACTTCTCTCAATAAACTGCAGGATGGGAAAGGGCGTGTAGCTGTAGACAATTAAGGACTCCTGAAAATATTTAACAGATCCCACCAGGCGTGTGATTAATATTTCACAATCAACACATCAAACACAAGCAATAAATTATTTCACAGTCATGAACTTGCTAGTTTTTTCCCAGCTATTAATTTTCTTAACGGGCCTTGGAACTGCGGTGGCACTCAGACATGGTGAGTTATCTTTATAGCTTAACTATATAACTTATAGATAGTAAATCTTCATTTCAAGGGAGGTGTTTGTTAATCGCAAATCCTGGTCCTTGCAATGGGAATTTTGAAATGTTTGCCTACGACTATGCCAACAATGTATGCGTAGAATTTATGTACGGTGGTTGTGGAGGAAACCCAAATCGTTTTCAAACTAAAAAGGAATGCATACTTCAATGTGATGCCTTATCAGATGACGATGAATTCGAAGAACTTATGAATTCTACGGATAAAAATGATTATATGACAGGACAACACAGAACAGATGGCACACCGTCATTTAATAGAACTTCATTATCAGAAAGTTCAGAAGCAACCACGACAAAAGAAAAAACTAATAATCACTTCACTCTCCTTTATTAAAAGGTAATTACTTAAGTAATTATGTACATCTTACCTCGAAATCTGGACCTATGGCCACAACATTAAGTAGCTGATGGTTCCAACACCATTGCAACAACAAATTTACTCGAACTGTCATATTCTTTATAGCCAACAGCACGGGTCGTGTGTTTAGCATACGTAGATGGCGGTACAAATTTCCCAGTACGGCTTCCGGTGCATCGTTCACAAAAGCTATTGTAAGGACATTATATGATTGATTTTCAAGCAAGTTATAGTTCGGACTAGAGTGCTCTTCAATTTGAAGTACGGAAACAGGAAGTTGCCACAAGATTTCCAGCCAAGTCGGATCGGAGTTGCCCAAAAGCAGCGCATACTCAAATTCAAGCTCACGACTCAGATGATGTAGTAAATTGTGATAGGAGCTTTGCCTGCCAGGACTAAGGAGAACCAATGCGGCTAACAGTAGGTGCAACTGACCCATGTTGAATGTGGAAATGACTTTCCACTTCCAGTTTATATATGTGCCTTTTAACTGCCATCAACGGCACCCATGGGAGCAGATTTATTTGATTTATTTAACTTAGCCCGAGAGTTTTTTGCCACCACCTTACAGTGCAATTAGGATGACACTGTACTTATAATAATTAAATAATAAAATAATAAAGAAATACCCTGACATACAGCTTTTTGTTCGGGCCGAAATGGGATATCTTACAATAAGCCTTGTGGGCAATTTAAGAGGCCACTAAACCCACTAACAACCCCATTAGTAGCACCATTACCAACTGTGATGAACATGTTTTCGCTCAGGCTTTAATAACCAACTAAAGTCGCCCACATAGTCATTTGGCTTGTTTTAAGACACTTTTGTGGGTGTTAAGTTCCTTTTAGCTATCAGCTATTAAGTATAATCAGCATTTGGTAGCCACCACAGTTAGCTTCAAAGTATAAAGTTTAGATATCGGGCAAGTGGTTTGTAAGCTGGTATGTTTATGTGCAGACAGCAGGTTTTTCTCGGGCAGGAGTAAAATGCGAATCATATCACATATTTATGAATTTGAGCACAAGCCCTATTAAATTTTAAATCATTTGTTTTTTACAAATCCATACAGATTTAATTCCATTGAATAGCGTACAATAGCGAGGCTAAATCGAGTCACAAATCTCATTCACATGCGATCCGCCTGACAGATGATCGCTCTTAATGATGCTGCCAACAACAGCATCCACTCGGCTCATTATATTTCTCAAGCATTTATATGTTTTGGTGCACTTCACTGGATTTGGCTGATGCGTCAGCACTTGACCCGCACTCAGCCCCAACTGGCTGATCCTCCTCCATCTGCTCCACCGCCCAGCTCCAATACTCCGATTCCCAGTCGTAGACTCTGTCCCCTGCTGTTGTCCGCCAAATGGAGTTGACGTTGACGTAATGCCCCGCCACTTGAGTAAGTCTCACTCACTCGGTCTTTTTTGGCTTTTGTCATTTCTGGTTGCTGCTTCTGCTTTTTTGGTAGTTTTTTGATGAAGTGCATCATCGTCTGGGGCTGGTCAATTAGCTGCACATTCCGCGTATCTCGCACAAAAAGAGTGGCAGCGTGGAAAGCTCAACATGGCAGGGTTGGTTTCTTATATATTTTTTTGTCTTTTTATGCTTATGTTAAGTATTTTTTGTTTATTTTGCTTGGAGGTCACGTAGAGTCTTTAATTGGCTGGCCCGGGCTGCGTATGCGATGTCAATTTAGCGAGCAGAGTCAGAGTCCCAAAGTTCATAAGTGCCCAAGCGCATTCTTATATAGCAATCTTTTGCAATGGACGAAAACTTCACTTAACCCACTTGCAGAACATGCAACCACAACCACTAGAGGCTACCTTTTATTTTGGGTATTTACTGCGAGAAGGAATTTTCTTGTGATTTTAATATTACTCTGTGTATAAAAGTTTCTTGCAACCATTTCTATTTTAACAACTTCTGTTGCATACGACAAACAGCCAAGGGAAACGTTTTTATGATTAGTTGGCATCGTAAAAGCGATAACTCATTTGCTGAGTCTGCCGCTCTGTGTGCCCCACTGGGGCACAGATCGCCCGGAGTGTCCTTACACTCCTGACACCGGCAACCTGGTAATTGTTTCTGAGCACCCAAGCAGCCAAAAAAACTTCCTAGTCCACTCTGGCAGAGATCACGGCCCCGTTCCATGCGGACTCAGGCAGAGACACTGCCCCAGGAAAGTAACTCATATTCGGTGCATTTCTGTGCTGCAGAAATTCACAACTCGAACCGTAGTGCATGTGATCGTACATCCGACTCTTTGGGGCTCTTGTTGTCCAGTTGTGCAGTTGTACAGTTATTGTTACCAGCCACGAGACATGCACGAGCCAACTGTAACTGCAGCTCCCCCGAAAATCCCCAACCCCAACTCCCTCATAGGCCAAACCAAAAACAATAACAGTCGCAAGCAAAACGGTAGCCTTTTTGGGGTACGGGTCCCGACATAAGCAGCAGTACAGAGATTTGGACCAGGCCTGGGTCTGGGGACTCATTGAAAAGCGAAAGATGGCCAAATGGAAATGGTGAAAATGGCAAAAGGCCAAAAGCGGACTGACAAAATATTTTCGCATACGTGTATGATAAATGGCACAGTTTAAAGTAAGTCGAGCACTTGCAATTGTCCACGTACCCGACGAACACAATGTAAATTTTCCAAGCGCTGACCATTTGCGCCAGTTTTTCCGCCAGCTGAAGCTAATGGTGCCACACTAAACATTGCCACAACCATAATTTTGGCATTTTTCGCTAGGTCGCCGCTGCCCGAGTGCCTGATTTATGAAAGGGCCTCATAATTTAGCACAAATATGGTCATAACTTTTTGGCTTTTACTTTTTGCGGGGCTTGGGAGCTGCTAATGAAGCGGCATCGCCTTCCTCCGCCAGAAACTGAAAACCAAAATCTGGAAAAAGAAAAAAAAAAGCCCCCAGTGGAGGTGAAACAAAAGCGCCCAGAAAACTTCCAGCCAAAACTCATTTAAGTGGATGGCCAGCCGATGGCCACTTGTTGCCATCGTTTCCTAGCAATCAGCAGTGAACGTGTCACTACTAACTGGCCGGGAACCGACCAAGTCGAGCTGCACTGGCAAAAGTTATAACCTCTAATTAAAAACATATATATGTGTACTAACAAAAATCTTTTTGAAATTCTTTAAAAGGTTTTTTAGACATCAACAAGTTCGCAATGAAATTGTTTTGTTCCTGCAGCAATTATGGCTTTCCACAATTTCAATTTCATGGTTATCTTTAAGATTGCGATCGTAGAGGTCATAATATTCGGCAGTGTAGACTGGGGCAACCATGCCGAACCGTGCCTATAATCATCATCAACATTACCAGCCAGCCGCCTGCAATGTGGAGCAATCACGTCCTGGACCAAAGCCACCAAAGTGAGCCTGGCCAGCGGCTCCTGCTCTCGACTGCCGCAATCCAGCCAGACTTCAATAAATGTCACTCCTCAAGCTTTGCATCTAAAAATTGATGACAATAATTTGTTGCATTTGCCCGAAGGGGTGTGGCACTGGCCAGCTCCGATCGCCATTTGGATCCCAGTTCAGTTCAGCTCAGTTCAGTTCGCAAATGCCTGGGACAGACGACCAAGTTGACTCCGAGCTGAGCTGCTGCTCCTGCTGCTGTTTTCAACACAATTTATACAAAGTGTCGCAGTTTTTGGCGCTTTGCATTTGTTGCTGACAGACTGACCACCTGCCCGCCCCGCGGAAAAGCGGCAACGGTTTGCACTTTGCCGATGCAAAAAAGTAACATAAATTTCGTCATTTTGTCACAAGTCGTTTGTATGCGATACCGCTGCACCTAGAAAAATGTAACTAGAATTGCTGAGAAAAACTATTCCCTGCAGCAACTGCCCAAGCGAAAAAGGTTTGCAGTTTCTGTGGTCATTGGTCTGTGCATTTTCTGCAAGTGTAGCTTAGCACCAGGGTTAGCGGGCTGGCACTGGGCTGGGCTGGGCTAAATCCATTGCTGCTGATTGCAAAGCGATTTGCCGAATTGTTTCCCCCACAATTCCATAAAAATCAACACACTCCTTTGGAGCCCGTTCGCTGTTCGCTTTGATTTGATTTCGATTGCGCATTTTTCAATTTGATAAATTTATTGAGTCGCACAGGGTTAACAAATCGCCGGCGATGCTTGGTGAGGATAAGTCGAAAGCTTTTGGGGGAAACCCAATAACCGAATGGATTCGATACTCCTGCCCCACCCATTCAGCTCCACCGAGATGGCACCATGCCATCCACCGTATATGCACGTACGTGGGCCTATATGGCCATGGCAATAGCCTTGTAAATGGCATCAATTGCGACCTTTTGGCACTCTTACGGAAACATTTCGCTAATGAAACCGATACCTCAAGTGTCAAGACACGATCCGGTTCGAATTGCCATAGGTTTGGCCTGTGGTCAGTGGCTTCTGGCCAGTGGCAGTAGTGGCAGTAGTGTCCGAGGTGGCAGCAGCATTTACCACACTGCGGCCAACTTATGGCAGCCATAAAAATGTTAAGCACAAAACATTTGCCACATTGGCACCTTTTGGCCGAAAGCAGAAGAAATGGAGCACGCACGTGGCAACTGCCCCGGGGCGAAATTGGATGCTATTCTCGATCGGCGGATCCTGGACTCCACCATTTGGGGTCGCAGCTGCAGTTCGGTTATGCGGAAGCTGAATCCAATCATAATTTGAAGACTCTTTTTGGCCAACTCGAGTTATGATCACTTTCAAGAGCAATGCCATGTGGCGCTAAAGTGTGGTAGTCGGGCGTATAATTCGTAATGGGATATCTTATGTGATTTAGATTCCCCACAGATGGCTAGAAAGTCCAATATTATTTTCAATCTTAATAACAGCTAGGGGTCAGGGTTTAATTTACACACACACGATACGATAAAGTTTGAATTACCTAGATTTTAACCATCTTGTGGATGTCATAAGCAACTAATCAGTTGAAAAGGAATTCCTTCAACGAAAATTTATTTGCATTTGAATTGCAGTCATAAAACACCCTGGGCTATTTTCCTTAATCACTTTACAAGGACAGCGCTTAGGAGCCATTCCCGAATAACTAAAATTATACACTTTAGTTGATTATTTCATTACAATGCAGACAGCCCACAAATTAATAAAAAAAAAGAAATGAGTTGTTAACAACAGGCACTTGCAGATGCGCCTCGAATGCTCTTGGCCAAAAGAAAACACGTCAAGCAATCGTTCAAAGTTGTCTCGGAGCATTTTGGATTGTTGGTGGCTGTGTGGGCGTGGGGCAACAAAAGATCTGCGGACACACTGGCAACTTGCAACATGCAACATGCAACATGCAACATTCGCTTCGGTTGGACGCCGATTTCTCGGGGCTCACAAGTGGAAAACAAAAATAAGAAAAATCCAGCCAACGTCCAGCATGTGTACGTGTTTAAACAAATACAATTTGCAATTATATGGCAAGCAAATCAAGTTGAAATCAGCATGCGATTTCCACCTGTGGCCGGCGTCATAATTCGTGGCCATGTTTTCGGTCATAAATCTAGCGATTTACAATTATTTTCTGCCTTATTTTGTTTCGGCCTCGCTGCAAAATAGAAAAGCAGAAAATGCATTTCGT